GGGGGCGGGGCCGGGGCAGTCGGGAGCTAGGCCCTGTGTCACTCAGCCGATGCACATTTGCCACCGTGATGCCTGGGACGTGGCGTTTGTACCGCAGGGCTGGGGACTGGATAGAATAAGTTTTTAGGGAGAGAACAGCTGCGTTAGAGGTTATGCGTCTAAAATTGTATTCTATAGTAACCAGCTGTCGGCCAAATTGCACCAAAAGCTAGGAAAGAGCCCCCAAACCCGTCAAAGAGGACGGGTGAGATAAATCACGGTGCATCCTTCCCGTGGAATGACACACAGCAGACTTAGATAAATGTCTCCAAAGTTTATCGTTAAATGAATGCAAGATGCACAGCAGTGAGCTGGGCTACTATTGTCATTTAGAAAGTCCCTGGATCCTAGACAACAGAATGGTGATGACCAGAGGGCAAGTGGGAAGGGGGCGAGAGAAGAGGGGGCAGGGGGACAAATGATGGTGGAAGGAACTTGACTTGGGGGGTGAACACACAACACGATACACAGACGATGTGTTATGGAATTGTATACCGGAAACCTCTGTAATTTTAGCAACCAATGTAGTTCTTTATATATTCTGGATAGTCACTGCCTGTTTTGGTAAATAAAGTTTTACTGAAACCCAGCCGTGCTCACTTGCTGATTGGCTGCCTGCGGCTGCCTTCCAGATGCACCTGTGAGCCGTGGCTACGGTGGCTGCATGGCCAGCAAAGTCGTGTTTGCCGCCTGGCCCTTTACAGAGCAAGTTTGCTCCCTTTGCCTTGAATTATAAAGAAATCCTTTGGCGAGGGGGGGGGGCTATGAAATGATACTCCAATGTGACAATGAAAGACCCTGCTGTTTTATTATGTACAAGTTCTGAATCATTTTTCCAAATAGCGGCTGTGGTCACAAGCAAAACCCTAGAATGTCCTTGGGACCCTCTCCAGCACCCCAGCCCACAATGCTCAGAGGTGGCCCGGTCCTCAAATGTGACTGAAACTCTCCTGGTGGGACATTGGCCTGGGGAGAGAGGGTCCCCTCCTGCAGCCCCTGAGGGCTGAGTGGATGGGTCCCCTCCCGGCACAGGGTGGAGCCCTGTGTAGTCACCAAGGACCTCTGAGCTTCAGTTATCTCACCTGGAACTTGGGAGAGATAGTAAGAGGATTAAGTGGAACAATGTAGCCCGGTGGACTTCTTCAGGGGTTCTCCAAAATGACAAGGCGACTCCCTGGCCCTCAGGGATCCTATTCCAGGAAGGTCCTTGTCCTCCGGGAGGGGACTCTAGGCAGAGCTTCTCAGGGCGTGGGGCAGATCTCAGGAGCTTCAGACTTTGTTTAAACAAAACAGGGCAGCCCACTTTTACCCTGCAGCCACTGTTGGTTCTGAGCTCTGGGAGGGGCAGGATGGGACTCTGCCTCCAGGCTCCCAAAAGGTTGCTCAATCCTCGGTGGCCTCGGGCCCCACCCACCCTGGCCTGGCAACCCGCCCCTTTCAGCCCCAAGCTCAGAGATAGACTACACCTGTGTCCCCCAACGCATGGAGCATACCCCGCCTATGACCCAGCAATCCCACTCCTACTCCTACGTATTTACCTATAGTCATGGACACCAGGAAATGTTCATTGCACAGTGGGGAGCCGGAAACAGACGTCCATCGCTAGGTGATGGAGAAACAAGCCTCTTGTCCCTGCAACAGGGCAGATGAACCTGAAAACCCTTTATGCAAAGTGGAAGAAGGCCCCACTGCAGATTCCACTTAACATCAGAAAACCCTTCCCCGGTTGGCAGCCTGGGGTGGGGGGGTCTACTGGGGAAGGACAGGAGGGGACTTTGGGGATGACCGAAATGCTCTACAGTGATTGGGGAGGGGTGGAGACATGGCTTGTTACAGTTGTCAGACTCTCTGAGCTGTACTCTTAAAATGTGTGTGGTTAATGCCTGTGAATTACACCTCAATAAAGAATCTCTGGCACATGCCAAGGCGTGTGCAAGCCTGGGAACTTTCTGCAAAGTGAAAGAAGCCAGACAGAAAAGGCCACACAGCGTGCAATCCCATCCACGCCAGGCACATCCACAGCAAGCAGATTGGTGGTCGGCAGGGACTGTGGGGAGAGGGATGGGGAGTGACTGCTTATGGGTGCGGGGTCTGGCCAAACTGGTTCCTGCAGAAGTCATCCACCGAGTGACCAAGGCCCCTGCACCTTGCTGCGTGGGTGGCTCAGCCTGACACGGACAGTAAGCTGCCTGACGATGGATGATGGTTGACAGGCAGTCACGAGCCTCTTTCGCAGGACAGCCTAAAGGAATGTAGCAGCCACTGCCGGGCTTGGTCACCCCAGGGCCAGGGGCAGGGACCAGGGCCTGGGGCTTCCTCAGAGTTCCTCGGGTGCTCCTTCAAGTCCCCGGGCCCCAACTCCAGGATCCTGGGATATCCTGCTCTCCCGGCCTGGCAAACCTGTTCTCCCTCTAGTCCTTCCCGTCCCAAGCGGCACTCAGGTGTGTCTCCGATGAGGATGGCACCCCTGTCTTCCTCCTCACCGCCATCAGCTTTCCTCCCACGCCCACAGTTCCATCTGCCAGCCGCCCCCGGTCCAGGCCACCACTGCCTGGTGCCGGGACACTCCTGTATCAGCCGTGCTCCTCAGGGCAGCTCGGTCGTCTTCCTCTCCAGCGCCCTTCATCCCGCCCTGCTCGGCCTGCCCCCGCCACAGGGACTTTGCACAGACCGGCTCTTTGTGAAAACGCTGGTTTCAGCTCCAAACTCGCCTCCTTGAGGGCTTCGTGCGACCACTGTTCCATCTAAAGGAGCCTCTCCCCTCCCGGTCACTAATGATAGGGGACTAGGGACGGAGGAGGGAATTTGACTGACAGTTACATCCTTTGTGTTCTGTGACCTCCAACTGAAATTTACATTCACCCCTCTCCAGGGTGGTCGAGATTAACCCCACTCAAAACGATTCAGATTCCTTGGCAGCACCCCGCCCCCCCGTTTCTTTCCTTCATGACTTACTGCTGGGACTCTAGCTCCCCCCGTAGTGTGGAAGCTCCAGGACACATCTGTTGTCACCCAAAAGGGACGGAGGAGACCTTCAACACATTCATATTCTTTTTTTTAAAATATGTCTTTATTGATTTCAGAGAGGAAGAGAGAGGGAGAGAGAGCACATCAATGATGAGAGAGCCATTGCTCGGCTGCCTCCTGCACGGCCCCTGCAACCCTGTGCCCTGACCGGGAATCGAACCTCCATCCCCTGGATCCTAGGTCAATGCCCAACCACTGAGCCAAGTCAGCTGGCCTGGTATTATTTCTTTAGTAAAAGGGTTATCTTTGTCTTCAACCCACCCAGTCCATTGTTTCTGTGCCTCTAGGCTAACACACCTTTGGAATTAGTGTGACCACCCTCAAGAGAGCTCATAATCTTGTTAACTGTCCTGTAATCAAGTCCCCGCCTC